TGTCGCACAGTACAGCCAGGTTCTACTCCAGGGAAACTCTAGGGGCTCACAGTACTGGGTCACGTGGCTCATCCCGGAAGAAACCCCGATATAAGGCTAGGCCTTTTCCTCTTCCTCACTCCTCAGTGCCCTGTGCCTGTCCACGGTGACCCCAGATGCTGACCCCTGCTCACCCCTCCCTGTTCTACAGGCCCTGTGATCACTCAAGCCACACCTGGCTGTGCTGGGGCCCCAGGGGCTCCTAGGCTGCAAGAAAAGGGGAAGTTGGCCTGAGAGGAGATTAGGGAAATCAGCAACAACTCCAGACTACCATCTTCCCAGGGCTGGGTTCATTTGGGGTGACTGCAAAGACACCCTGCTGTCTCTCTAATGCTGGACCTCAGACGGTAGTTTTCCCACTGGCCCTCGGTACATGTCTGGCTGGACCCAGCCCTGTCCGACAGCTGGGACTTGAACAAGTGGTAAGGGGACACAACCTGCCTAGGCATTTTCTGGGTTGTGCTAACCCTTAGAGGCCATGACTCATGACCACAAGGCTGTTTGTACCTCTCCATCCCCAGTTTGGGGGTGGAGGGCAAAATCAGCACTGGCATGGTGCCAAACAGAGCCTGCATCACTTCGGGGAGTGGCAGGGCTGGAGAGGGTTCTGAGCACTTCCTGGCTGTAACAGCAGAGACAAATTCCTGGGCTCTGGCTAGGAGCTTTATACAATCTAGTGCTTGACTTTAATTTAAAATGCTAGCTGAGCTGGGTGGTGGTGCACACCTTTAATCCCAGCACTCAGGAGGCAGAGGCAAGTGGATCTCTGTGAGTTCGAGGCCAGCTTGGTGTACAAAAGCTAGTTCCTGGAGAGGCTCCAAAGCTACACAGAGAAACCCTGTCTCGAAAAAAACAAAAAACAAAACAAAACAAAGCTAGCCACAGTCATATCTTTTATTTCTACTATAGACTCACCTTCTCCCTTAGGCTGGGCAGCTTTCTTTTTTTTTTTTTTTTTTTTTTTTTTTTGAGACAGGGTTTCTCTGTAGCTTTTTCGGTTCCTGTCCTGGAACTAGCTCTTGTAGACCAGGCTGGCCTCGAACTCACAGAGATCCGCCTACCTCTGCCTCCCGAGTGCCGGGATTAAAGGCGTGCGCCACCACTGCCCAGCGTGGGCAGCTTTCTTTATAGTTCTGTTCTTCCCATACAACTTGGCATCATACAGGCCCAGGAGGCTCAGACAGGAGACCAGAGAACTCGGGGTAAGGATGGGGAAGAGGTGCTTCCCTCCCAGCCCAGGCTGCTGCTGGCCTTCCTCCAGCCCCATACCTTACCCTGGGCAGCGGTATTTGCATAGGACTGCTGGCCTTGTCCATTCCTCTATTCTATGGCTAGTGGTCACGGCTGGCTGGAGCCATGAGGGCATTTATGCCAAGCTAATCGCTTGGTACCTCCCCGCTGTCCAGCCAGCCGACCACTCTGTCGCTATGGAAGCCTCTCTAGTGAGGGACCTCGCCTGTCAATCCATTTCTCCTACCACACATCTGCCTCCATGCCAGGTGGACCTGTCAGCCAGACACGTCTCACACAGCTCTGGTCAGAAGGCTCTGAGAGTATCCCAGCTGACTCTGTCCGTCACTGGTATCCATGCATCTTTCAGTGGAGTGGGGAGGGGGTGAGGGTGTGTGTGGGTGTGCGTAACTGTTCTAGAACAAACTTTGAGCCAGGATTACTGTGTGTGTGTGTGCGTGCGCGCGCATGCCCTCAGGTACATGCCATGGCACACGTATGGAATTCAGAGGACACCATGCCAGGGTTGGTTGACTGATTCTGTTTTTCCCTGGAGATAGATACCAGGAGATCAGTTTACATGAGAAGGGTTTTCACCTACTGAGCCAGCTCAGTGTTCCACCATGCCTCTTTCTAACTCACTTCCTAAAGTCTACCCTCAGAATCCCCTGGAAGCCAGTGTGTCCTTGCTGGCTTTGCTGAGTTCTGGGTAGCCATGTGGCAAGACGTGGGGCTCCCTCTGTTTTACTTGATCTCCCCAAGTCTCCTAGAACCCCATAGTCATGGAGGGCCAAGCTGGAAGCGCATGATTCTCAGCTTGAGTTTCTCTTGCCTGGAGCAGGGGAGGCAACTTTGTTGTTTCCTGAGAGGGGGTTAGGAGGGGGTGAGGTTGGGGTTTGGGGTTTAATTACGGAGCAGGAACTTGGTGGTCAGGTGCTCCCACAGGGCATATGGCACCTTCTCGCGGCACCCGTCTAATGAGATGGTACCAGGCGGTTGGCAGGTGGGCTCTGTAATTTAAGGGGCCTGATTGCAGTGGCGGTGAGCGCCTTTAGCTTCATCAGAGCAAAATCCTCTTTGACTTTTTCTGACTCAACTGAGGGGTCGGGGGGTTGAGTTCTGGTCTCTCTCAACGTGTTGCAACATGGCACGCTCTTCGGTGGCCCAGTGGGTGAGTTCAGCGGCCTCTAACTCCACGTGGCTGTTTAGAGCAGTGTCGTGTTTGGACACTGTTTGGCACAGGATGACGCAGAGAGGAAAGTCAGGATCTCAAATGCATCTCCCGACAGTTCCTCCTCCGCACCTGCCTAAGAAGCTGCCACATTGTATGTGGGGGGCGTCTGTCACCTACAGGGGGAAGCTCTTAGAACCTTCCGAGACCCTCAGAAAAATTTTCTCTCTGAAAACTGACAACAGCTAATGATTCCCCTCATTAGTCTGCCACTAAAAGCTAAAATTCCTTCCCTGGGGGAAAATGTAAACAACAGCAGCTCCCTCCTTCTGATGTCCCAGTGACAAACCAAACTTAGATTCCACCACAGCTCATCCAATGGGTTTCTCGGGTTGGCTCATACAGCATGGGGGGGGGGGGCTCCTGACAGGAGCACAGGTGACCCCCCCAAAGCAGCTGAACTAGAAGGTCTGGTATACCCAGCATGGACGACCTTTCTCCAGAGGTGCATGGATGAACCCCTCTCCCCTAGCCTTTCCCAGTCTGTGTACTCTGGTTCCCACCTGAGACCCCAGGCCTGCAGATAATTTGGGCAGAACTGCGTATGATTGGCTGAGAGGGTGGTTGGTTCAATGGCCCTCCCCACCTGCCGGTGGACCGCAGGTCTTGAACATGGTGGACTCTCAGGGAAATGACAGCAGTGGGGCTCAGAGGACAGAGCCTTACATATTTCAAGAACCACACTGAGCTCTTTTCAGTCACCGTCCATCCGTCAGCACATGACCCCAGAAGAATGGCACTATTCTACCCATTCTACAGACGAAGAGGCCGAGGCACAAAGTAGCAGTTTATCACACAGAGCGGAAGCCGGCAGGACTGCTCTAGCACGCTAGTGTGTGGAGACTCTCTTCTTAGATGAATGCATCTCTTGCCCCTGCATTTCATGTCCCTCTTCCGTAGTCCATAGGATGGGTTTGTAAACTGTTTTTACAAAGAGCTAAAGTCACATCTAGAGCCCTCCTAAGCTCAGGGTGTAACATTCCCCACCCTTACGAAGTCAGGAGGCTGGGGCCCCAGGAGAAGTGCTCCACCACTGAAAAAGTAGCAGTTAGTATCTTCGAAGGGAAGAAAACAAGGGAGGGCGAGAGGACCAGGGAGGCTCATCCCTGAGGGCGAGAGGACCAGGGAGGCCCATCCCTGAGGGCGAGAGGACCAGGGAGGCCCATCCCTGAGGGCGAGAGGACCAGAGAGGCTCATCCCTGAGGGCGAGAGAAATCGGGAGGCCCATCCCTGAGGGCGAGAGGACCGGGGAGGCCCATCCCTGCTTTCAAGCTGGGTCGTCTACACAATGCAATGCGTTTGTGCTTGCATAGTGCTGGCATCAGATGCAACACAAAGCCTTCATTCAGCCGGCCAGGTAACCACTCTACTGCTGAGCCACACTCCAGCCCCCAAATGAGATTCTAGATAACACGTCTACAGAGAAGACCTGCCTTAATCTAAGCAGGAGCCACAGTGCAAACTGAATAAAGCCTCCAGTGCCTGCCCAGCCTGTCAGTAGGCACAGGACCACTCGTCTTCTGGGGACTGGGGCAGTGACCCAGGCAGTGGGCTTAGGGCCTGGCGTTAAGGAAGAAGCCATTAAGCGTGAACAGGATGTCCTGCAATTCGCTTTGTTTGCTTTCTCTGCAGGGTAGAAGGCAGGAGACAGCCTGGGAGGCTGGCACACTGCCAGGTTCCTCCTCCTTTAGGTCTGAGTGACTTAGCATCCACAATGCCCTCAGTCTTCCTTCCCCGCCCTCCATTCACCTCTTAGACTAGTACTCAGTCCTAATTCCAGACCTTCCCTGGAAAAGGTCACCAATCAGGTGATAAGGCCCATCTCACGCCAGGACTGAGCAAGTCCTGGGCAAACCAAGGCAGCAGGCCATCTACCCAGAGTTTCCAATGCTGCCTTGTGGTCATTAACAGCCTGGACCTTCCGCTCCTCCCGACTCCCCTCATTGTCTCCCCTCCTCTTGGCTCTTGTCCTACCTTCTGGTTTGCTCCCCCTCTTCTCAGGTTAGCTCTTGTTCTTCAGTTCCACCATCTTGGTTCTCCAGGATCTGGAGAACCCTGTTTGTTCTGTGCTGGTTGCTGGGGCAAGACACAGTCTCTTGAGCGACTCACAACCCAGTAAAAGACACACAGAGATGGAAGGTAGAGACCAAGCCTGTCTACACAGCATCAGGGACCGTGTGTGCCAGGGAGACAGTCACTGAGCTGGGCTGTAAAGAATGAACAAGAGTCTAGTAGGCTAGAGGGGAAGGAGAAAGCTTCCCTAGCAGGTAGGAATGAGAATGGTAGAGTTGCACACCAGGGAGGTGGACATAGTTTTATGCACCTGGACATGCACCGTAAAAGGGAAAAAGTCAAGGGGAGTTGAGGAGGAAGGCACGGACAGGTCACAAAGGACCTGGTGTGTCACGCCTCTATGACAAAGTCTCTGCTTGAGCTTGAAGAAGCCCACAGCCCCCCAAAATGAAAAGGCTGTGCTTCTGTGACTTTGACTTTGGTAAGGGGGCCATCAGATTCCAAAGGCAGACTTGGTGACTCCAGGCCACTATCAGGAACCGCTGGAAGCTGCTGGGCAGAGGAAACCGCTGTCAGAGATCTGCTTTCAGTTGCAGTCTCTGGTGGCCAACTGAGGCAAGAGTTACAAGAGGTGAAAGTCAGGGTCAGTTTCCAAGTGCAGCCCTCAGGTTTTGGCCTCTCCAGGGCAGTGAGGCACCTCTGTCTCCCACCTCCTGGTCCACCCAATACTCTCCTGGACACATCCACAGGCTTTCAGCAGGACGTTCTCACATCTGAAACCAATACCTGGCTTCTTCACAGGGCACATAACTGAGTAGATGTTTCCTACTGGACTTGAGGCCAGCTCTAAAGTGAACTTACACGATGAGTCTTAGGGTTTGGCTTACGACTTTCTAGCAATCGATCAACTCTTGTTCCCAAAAGTTTTCAAATTCCTTAAGGTTTTCTGAGAAGACAAATCTGTTGCTCCCAAGTCGGAAAGTGACTGTACATCCCTGTAATACAGGGACGAATCTTCAGCCCCATTCCAGGAATGGGCAAGCCCCAGACCCAGCTCCAAGAACTGTTCCTCTGGACCCTGCCAGGAGATCCTCTCAGTGGCCTGCCCTCCCCGCCAACCTCACCAGCATCCTCCCCAACCACTGCTCCAGTCTTGTTGCTAAGGGACACCTTCCCATTTACTCAGGCTCTGTGGGATGGCTTTGTTGCCATGGTAATGCATCAATCTGGAGAGGGAGAGGGAGAGAGAGGTAAGTGTTGGGACTGCTGCTGAATGCAGGGGTGGGGTTCTAATTTGATGATTGCCAGGGTCAACAAGGCAGGTATGTCTACCCTGCCGCAAAGCCCTCTGGGGATGAAGTTGTCATTCCAATGAAGTCTAGAGTAGTTATGCAAGGAGTGTTTGTGTGTGTGTGTGTGTGTCTGTATGTGTACATACATGAACATACACATGCCTGGGCAGGATACCTGGTACAGTGATAAAACCAGAAATCCTGAACTCAGCTGAAATCACACTGGAATGACATTTTTCTGCAAATTATTCCCTATCTCTGCACATCATTGGAAAACAATGACCAGGGATTAAAACTGGCTCTGTCCAGCCCTGTCCTGTTGTCCCCACTGATTATTAGATCTGAGGCCACTTGGGCTGAGGCATGTTGGTCTATCCTCAGGTCTCTGCAGTCCCTCTCTGTTCTCCCTGCCCAGGACACGACTGTTGTTAGAGCAAACCTCTCTGATTGTCATTTCCTACTTCTGAACCTTGGACTCCCCAGTCTCAAGCAGACGGCTTTGCAGCTTGTCCAGCCTCTGGGAGCCTTGTCCCATAAGAGATATGGACATTCCTACTGCACCATTCTGTTGAAGAGAAAAATTGAGACTGGGCCCTGGATAACTAGAGTAAGTCTTGCATCTTCATGGAAGGCTTGGGTTTCTAGCCTTCCAAGGGTCCCTGAAAGGCTTCTGGAGGCCACCTACATGTGTGTGTGTGTGTGTGTCTGTGTGTGTGTGTGTGTCTGTATGTGTGTGTGCACATACGCATGTGCTCACCAGAAGAGCTTCACAGCCAGCCAAGCTCTCCCTGTAGCCTTCTGGGGAAAGAAGTGGGACAAGCTTGAACTTTGGGTTTACAGAAATTATTCAAATGTGCTGCCCACACAGTCTGTGAGGGAGAGCAGTTTCCAGATCCCCCACATATCCCTCAGGCACCTCAGGACACAATCCTATCTGCAGAGCTCAGAACAGAAAGGGGGGAGTTGGGCTGCTCCTCACCCCCACCCTTTGCTGCTCAGGTCTGCCGGAATCATGCCACTACAAGGACCACCCTGGGCCTCCCACGAATACTCCAAGTTCTCCCAGATAGAAAGAAGGGGATGCTGAAGGAGAGACCCCAGGAGTGGGGCTGCTAGGAACACTCTCAGTTGAGAGCCTGCTGTCTGATCCTCTGTGAGGATGGAGACACATGGGCTGCAGAGAAGGGAAGGAATATTGATGGGGTGTCGGGTGCCAAGTTTACATCTCTCTGAACTCACGGAGCCTCATGAGAGAGGGCCTGTTACCATCTCCTGCACAGATAGAAAACAACAAGCCAAGGTCACTCGGTCTTTGGGGCTTTACAGCCGGAGGTCTTGATTAGAGGCTAGCAGATTGGCCGTCCTGCCTTAGTGCCAGCTAGTGTTGCAGCTACCGAACTGTCTGGAGAGATGTGTGCAAGGAAACTGGCAGAACTGAGGGAGGACAGCGAAAGCTTTGGAAGGCAGTCTCGGGAGGACACAGATGGGGAGCAGATGAGGGTGTCTCAAGCGTCACATCGTCAGCTCCTATGCCTGGATGGACATGAAGTGCCCACGGCATACTCAGGACTCAGCTGGGGCCCTGCCACGTCAGACCTTCACTCTTATCTAGCTAACCCTTCTTCCCAGGGCTTTTTCTGGGACTGTTGACGCTCTGTGTGTCATTCTCTGTGTGTTTAGATACCCATTACAGCCACCGGTGCCGCCTTCGTTTAGGTTTTTGGAGACAAGATCTCACCTCTGAGTAGTCTAAGCCAGCTTCCAGCTCATTATATCCTCTTGCCTCAGCATCCCCAGTGTTGGGATCACCACGCCAGCTGAGACAATGACTCTATTTTTTTATCATTATTTTTATTATTGGTACTGGAAATTAAATCTAGGGTATGCCTGCTATGCAAGCACTCTACCACTGAGTTATACCCCTAGGCCCTTTATATTATTTAGACACCCAGACTGGACTGGACTCCACATGTAGACCAGACATGTGTTGAACTTTTCATCCTCTTGCTTCTTTAGCCTTCGGACGAGCTGGGATTGCAGCCCTGAGCCCCGCTAAGACCTTTCAAAATTGCCCCCTTTATAAAGGGGTGACTTCAAAATTCTGAATGGAACTCCCGAATGGAGATGGGATGATTTGACCGTCTTGAGCCAGGCAACTGGCCTTGTATTGTTTACGCTGGCTGTCAGTGTCCTTTGTCAAGGGATGCTGGGGCAGAATAAAGCTGCTGTCCTCTGCCCCAGCCAACGTTGTCTTGGCATGTGACAGTCCCTCTGCACGCCTCTCTCCCAGCGGATAATGAGTCGCACGAGAACGGGCTGAGCCCAACGACCCAGCATCTTACATACAGCAAGCACTTCAGAAATGTTTTTTGGGTAGGCAAAGGATGGTAGTTACCTCTACTGCTTTCGGAGTCCTTGTGAGCCAAGCCCTGGGCTAGGCCTTTAGCATCCACGATCTCTGATATATACCACAATCATAAGATTGACTTTAGTGTCTTTCTCCTATAGATTTGCCAAATTAGGCCCAAGATCACATAGTGGTCCAAAGGAGGGCTGGGTGTGAGGGCACACTGAAGAAGCCTCAAGGCCCTGTCCAGCCCATCACACTGCTGCCCCCAACCTTGACTCTCTTAACTCTTTGATCTTGCGGCACAAACAGACACATGGTTCTGTGAGTGTTCTAACCAGCTCTCAAATCAGGTTTCCTCTCTCCACTTCTGGGACTGTCACAGTCTATGACGGCCTCTCTTTTCACTGGGATTGGCCCCCGACTGGGATTGCCATCTCTGGCTTCGCCCCCACTAGCAGCCTTCCACTTGGTCACTGTAGTGACCCAAGGTGACCTGGTGAGATGTCTTTCCTGAGATGCTCTACGCTACTCCATGTCATCCTGGTTTTAGTATCACCCCTGCAGGGAAAAGAGAACGACCCTTCTTCCCTCCCGGCTTCCCTTCCAGTAACCCTCAGCTCAGGCGGAGCACAGGGACTGTCCCTGGGCCATCCAATACTGACCCCTGGGCCGCAGAAGTGTCACAATGGGCCAGTTGCCATCCCGTGGCCACACTTCAGGGCTTGGTGGCCGCTGAACTTGTACCCCTGAGGGGACAATAGGACCCCAGCTCTATTCTTTGCTCTCTTTGACTTCCAAGCCCTGAGACGGATGGCGTTGCTCTTCCACCTGCTCCTAACCATGACGTACTATGCTGTCATGGTTTCGAAAGCAGTCATTTGTTCATGGACTGTTCATGCTCTCTCTCTCTCTCTCTCTCTCTCTCTCTCTCTCTCTCCCTTCCTCCTTCTCATGTTCCCTTTATAAGATGGCTATCTCAGTCATTTGATACAGCAACAGAAAGCAGACTTGAGCACCCGTTTGCTTCCCTTCCCCACGAGCTCCTGGGGGAGGCTAGGGTCTGGGTTTTATATATCCTCTGTGCTCAGGGGCCTGACTACTGTTTGACATGCAGAAGATCCTCAGAAACTGCTTGTTGAGACCTTTTGATCTTACCCCCTGGCTCTCTGAATCTCTACCCTTTGGTCCCATCATCTCTAATCCCCTAGATACTTAGCCATAGTCCAGCCCTCCAGCCCTGCCTGAACTTGGCATTGCCTCCCTACTCCCTGCTGTTATTGTTCTCCTCCTCTTCTTCCTCTTCCTCCTCTTCTTCCTCCTCCTCAACTTCCTCCTCTTCGTCTTCTTGAGACTGGGCCTCACTGGGCAGCCTTGACTGGCCTGGAACTCACTCTGGAGACCAGACTGACCTGTGTTTTCCTCCTGCCTGCTGGGTTTACAGGCCTGGGCCACTACACCTCATTCCCTTTCCTCTTACTTAGTCATACAGCAGGACAGGCTGTATCGTCTGCCCCCAACCCAGAGGCTCTGGCTGCAGCCGCACTCTGAAGCCTTCAGCTTGTGGCAGACAGAGTTTTATAAAGCACTCGTGCCCAGAGAAATCTCTATGCCCTGGTAGAGAAAACAGGTAGCCTAGAGTTGGGAGGCCCTTTGTGGGATGTCAACCCCCCGAGGTCACTCTCATGCTTAGGCCCTGTGTCTTCTTTCTCCTGTCTCCAGCTGTGGTTGTGACCTCAGGCCCATGTCTTTCAGAAGACTGCCCTACTCCCAACACCACACCCCCCTTAAGCCAAGAGTTGGATTCAAAGCGCCCTTCTCAAGAGCACCCAGGTTGTAGAAGTCTTGTCTTCTAGGGCATAGGCCTGTGTCGGAGGACCCCTCAGAGCACAGGAAGGAAGACTAGAGGGCCCTGCCTGAGAGCACAGTCCTTCAAGCTGTTCCAGCTTTTTGATGTTGTGTGCTTTAAAAAAAAGATATTCATTTTTAGCTTATGTGTATATGTGTTTTACTTACATCTAGACGTGTGTACCACATATGTTCTCGGTGCCATGGAGACCAGAAGAAGGGGCCAGATCCCCTAGAACAGGAGTCACAGACAGTTATGACTTGTCATATAGGTACTGGGAACTGAACCTAGGTCCTCTGCAAGAGCAGTCAGTGCCCTTAACCGTTGAACCATCTCTCCAGTATCCCCCAGGGGGCAGTTGTTCTTTTGACCCCTGAAGTTAGATGGTGCAGGTAGGATGATCATTGACCTGGTTCTCATCTTGACTCCCTATGAATACCTTGCAGGACTTTGGGCCCCTTCAGTCTCCTTTCTGGGACTCAGTTTCCCCTTGTGTAAAATGAGAACTGAATTAGCATTGGCTATCTGCAGAGCTTCTTAGATGACTCAGTTGGCCAAAAAAAGACAGTTCCTCTTCACAGTGGAAGTGGAATGCTGTGGGGGAAGGAACTCTTCCTCCATGACATGGAGAGGCAGAGCTGGGGGCAGGGAGGGGGGATTCAGAGACAGGAGAATGGCCCATGCCCTATGCCCTGTGCTTGAACATTAGTCTTAGGTGATAGGCACTGGGCGGGAAGGGGCGAGTTGGCACACAGCAGGTTGGGTAGGGGCATTTAGAGACCTGTCCCCTTGTGGTCCAAACCAGAGGACCTCACCATGTACCCAGGGCCAGCTTGTGAGGGGAAAAGGAAGACACACCGGCCCTAGTTTTCAGAATGGGAGAAAGGGGTGGCCACAAGGACAGAGCGAGAGCAGGGGATTGGCAGCGGCTGTGGGCAGGGCCGGTTCGGACAAGGGCGGAGTCAACTTGTACACGTGAAAAACTCTGGCTGGGGCCGGGCTTTTGCCTTCCTCCTCCTCCTCCTCCTCCTCCTCCTCTTCTTCCCCACCTTCCTGCACCCCTCCCTTCTCCCTCCTCCCACAGCTCAGGTTGCAGCTTTTTTTTTGGAGGGGGGGATACCACTCACCTTTCGAGAGCCAGGAGAGTCAGGGTCCCGAGTGGGGACCCCGGCAGGGCGTGGGGCGCGGGGCAGGTCACCCAGCCTTGGCCTCGCGGCCGCGGCGGGCGCGAGTCGGCTCGCCGCGACCCGGACACGCGCTGAGACCGCGGCGGCTAGAGAGGGGCACCGCGCCGGGCAAGCTGAGCAAAGGTAAGCTGGGCAGCCCTTAAAGGGGCCGTCTACCTTTGCGCTGGAGAGAGCGATTCGAGCAAAATTCCCTAGCTGTTGTGGGCGATTGGCGATAACTGGGCGCGCTTGTGTTTTGGGGGGTGAAGGATGTCCTGGGAAAGCCACTCCCAAGTTCCAGGTGCTGAGGCAGAATGTGTGCCCGGCGGGGACTCTTGATCAGGGACTCCCTTTGACCCCGGGCTCTGTCGGAAGCCTACAAAAGCAAAAGTTCCCACCCAGGCGCAAGCTGGACGCTAATTGCGTTCCTTATGGAAAGGACAAGGGTCAGGAGTCCCGGCTAACGATAGGGCCCTGGAGTGTAGGGCCGGAATGCCTTGTTGAAGGACTTTCTGGGCTTTAGTGAACTTTCCAGCCCCAGAGGCCGTGGGTGGTAGGCCAGAGACCTGGGGCAAACCGAGGACAGGTGAAGCACGCAGCTTCCAGCATTGGCTCCGTGGTGAATAAGGTCGCTAGAGAACGTGTCTCTTCTCTCTTGGGGAAGTCCAGAGAGGCAGTGACCCTCCCTCTTCATGGAGCTAGGGACAGGGATGATAGAGTGTGGAAAAGGGGGGCTGGATGGTTTGGGCTCAGAAGTCCTAGCTTGCTGTGTTTGGAGGACGCAAACCGGACTCTGAAAATGGGGTGGCTCAGAGGCCCTGTTCCACCCTGTTGGGGGACAGGCCACTGGCTTCTGAATGCCTTGTCGTTTGTTTTTTGTTGTTTTCTGTCCTGAGGGGTCAGCGCCCCTCTAGGCCCCAGTGGCCTCATTTATTTCTCCCGAAGCCTTTCACAAAAGCAGGGGTGGGTGGAATTGTAGGATAAAGGCTGTCCTCAGAACCTTTTGACTTTTCCATCCCAGCTCAGCCCATAACAACCTTCCCCATCCTACCCTGCTGCAGTCTGTGGCCTGGGCCCTGTAGTTCATTACCAGCCAGCCCCCGCCACATTAGATGTGAGATTCAGCATAGACACTTAGACACAGTGAGGTGGGGGTCAGGGTGCTGGGAGAGCCAAATCCTTGTATCCTGGACAGCTCATGCTTTTATCATGCCTTGGGCCTGGGATATCATCTGGGATGTGGCCAACAGGCAACTGCGGTTGTGGGCTTGGTGTGCATAGTAAAAGAGGTTTCCTTTGCCCCAGCCAAGCTCCTGTCTCCCTCCAGTCCCTGCTGTGTGCCAAGCAAGGTGTCACAATAATCTCATGATATTTCATGATTGCTGTTATCACCAACCATTTCGCTAGCCAGGGAACAGACCCCAGGGAATGAATGCTCCCAAGGGGATGTAGAGGTGTGATCTGTCTCCTTCTAGCTGATCCCAAGCCTGCTCTCGACCCTGCTCCACCTGGGCAGGACCCACCCTGTGCTGGAATCCTCAGAAAGGGTGATTGGGGTAGTTTTCTCAGTGATCGGGCTCCCCTGTCCTGTGCCAGGCAGAACCAAGCTTTACTAGAGGGACAAGATCTGAGAAGCAAGTCAGTTCCTAGTCTGGGATTGTGCACAGAGGGGCTCCCTGCCCTAGGATCTAGAGGGAATGGGGCTGTGTTTTTCTCCAGACTATGTGTTCTCTGCGAGTTACTCCATCCTGCTCCCAGAGCCCGCCTGATGTGTGTCTTCTGGGTCTAGCCTCCCCCTTCATCCCTCCTCCTCCTCTGATTCCTCCTTTCCTTTCCTAAGTTTGGGACCTGGAGGGGAAGAAGGATGGCCACACCTAAGCCATTATTGGGCCCCGTGTCCTCCCAGCCTGAACTTCCTCAGTGTCCTGTGTGAAGAGGGGCTTCTGATAAGGAGGCTATTCTGTGAGTGGTGTAAGATAACACATGGAAGCCGAGTGTGCTAAGAATTGGGAAAGTCAGTCTCTCGGCGATGCCCTGGGGCTGAGTCTGGACTGTAGGTTTGTCCCTTTAGGTTGGAGAGGAGGGTTCTCTATAAGAGAGTGGGGGAGAGGAATGGAAGCATGCCAGGAAGGGCCAGCGCTCTTGGCTAGGCCCGGTCAGTCAGGTAGCCATGGAGCTGAGGGACTTCAGCCTTTTAGCAGGTCCCTGCTCTGCTCCGCTGTCCACGAGGGCCTGGCTGGCTGGGTTCCAGACCTACCTGCTTAACTTCACTCCTCTGAGAATCAGTCACGTTTCTCTCCCTGGGCTTTGTGTCCCCCAGTAACCCTTTCTCTCTCCTTCCCTGGACCCTTCACCTTCGCTCTCTGGGTACTGGCTGCTGAGTAGGCACTTCCCTGTCTCAGAGGGTAGGAACTCGCCAAGGTTAGCCCTGGCTCCTACAGCGGCATGTGCTTATGAGTGCACATGAGCACATGCACGCATACACACACAAACACACACACACACACACTGCAGCTCCCAGGTGGCCAGAGGCCCAGAATCACTATAGGGCTGGTGGCCAGGCCTGAGCTAGCCTGTGGCACAGCAGGAGGGAGAAGGAGGGAGAAAGTGGGTGCTTTTCTGCCTAACCTACTGCCTGCAGGAAGTATCTGCCCCCAATGCTCCCAAGGCCCTGTCAGCTGAGGAGGTGGGTTTGGGAGGCAGGTCAGGGTCACACAGTTGCCCAACAGCAAGCAGGACCCTGGTAAGTCAGGACACTCTGCCGTGGAAGACATTGTCCCAAACTTTGGAAGGGACCATGGTGATACATACTCTCTTCCTGCGTATGTACACCCTCGATATACTGAATTCCCCTTTTGAGGAGGGGTCTTTCTACAAACCCCTGGCTGTCCTCAGACGCACTATGTCGACCAGGCTGGATTTGAACTCGCAGAGATCGGCCTGCCTTTGCCACCCACTCAAATGGTGGAACTAAAGGCATATGGCACCATGCTAAGCTGACCCTTCTTTAACAAAAAACAAACAAACCAAAAAGACCACTGTGTGTAGACCAGAGACTGATGTCAGATGTCTGCACCACCCTTTTTTTTTTTTTATCAGAGTCTCTTGCTGAGCCTGGAGCTCACCCTCTGGTCAGGCTGACTGGCCCACCGCCTGTCCTTATATCCGCCTGTTTCTGCTGCCTGATGATGGGATTTTAAGCCTACTCCACTGTGTCTGGCTTTTCCGTAGATCCCGGAGATTTGAACTCATGTCCTCCCTCTCGCCGCCATTAGCTGGTCTTCCCTGGAAACAGGTGAAGCAGAAAGAGTGGCCCAGAAGAGGCGGGTTGACTTGTTCGCTCATCATTTACATGTGTGTGTCTCCTGCTGGCCGCTGGCGCAGGCTGATGCTTAGTATAAAATCCGCCCCTACACTCAATAACTTTGGGTGAGCAGTCTGCTCCCCGCTAGCCTCAGCCTCCCGGCTTTGCAGTGGTTCCTGTGGCTGTGAGGATTGCAGTGACGTCATGTCTTCCCTGGGCCTCAGCTTGGTGCCTTACCCGTTGTCATTATTGAAGGGTGGTGGTGAACGAGGTTGCTGGCCCTGCACCTGAATCTTCTCTAAAGGAAATCCTGAGAGCGCTGCTGATTTCTGCCTACACACATTATATCGCTCCCTCTTTTGTCTGGGGAGCCCCTTCAGGAACTAAGCCTTACTTTCCTCTGGTGACAGCCATCCAGCCAAGGAAACTCTTGCAGTGTGGACAGACCTAGGGGACATCGCTGTCCTTTCCATGTGCTAGTGGGATTCACTGCCAGGAGGCAGGTGTGTGGCTGGAGAGCAGGGTCTCCAGACTAGCTACGGCCAGCCAGGAGGTCACAGAGCCTTCCCCTGATCTAACTGTTGCATTTGAGCTGGGTGGCATTTTCTGAGCTGATTCTCTAATGTGGCTTCATCACCAAGCCAGGCAGGCAGAGTGTGCTGTTGGCATCCTTGACAGTGGTACCCAGTAGCTGTGGGGAGCAGAAAGGACATTGAGCTCCATGTCACAAACTCACTTCTGTTCTCAGCTCTGCTCTGTCACTCTCAAGAACCTTGGACAGAAAACTGGCTTGCTTGAGACATAGAAACACAGGCCACAGATTCCTACGCCCCGTCAAGCCCCATTTTATGCCACCATCTTTTGCTGGTGAGACCCCAGCAGGGTCTTAGCCTTGTGACCCTCCAAATTTCACAGCCCAGAAACTTTTTTCCACTGAGTCTAGGTTCCTAGTCTTTGCCATGGTTCAGAGAGGCAAGGAAGCTCCAGGAGCCTCATCCTCCAGTCAGATAGGAGGAGAAAAGTATGAGCAAGGAAGTAGATGCAGGATTCAAATATTGTATATATTGGATATTCAAAGGCAGGGGCTGTAAGGCACGGGCCCTTTTCAGATCTCGCCTACTATGAAATAAGAATAGTTTTATTTGTTTGTTTGTTTATTGAGCCAGTGTCTTATGTGTTCCCATGCTAGCCTCAAACTCGCTATATAGCTGAGGACAGCTTGAAATTCTAATCCTCATTTCTCTTGGCATATGCAACTTCTATAGTTTTTGTAGTACTAGGATTGATCCCAGGGCCTCATGCATGCCAGAACTTTGCCCACTGAACTTTATCTGTAGGCCTGATTTGACTTTTCAAGACAATGTCTTGCTATGTAGCCCTGGCTGGCCTGGGACTTGTAGACCAGGCTGGCCTCCAACTTGTGACAATCTTCCTATTTCTCACTCACGAGTATTAGAATTATAGCCATGTGCTACCGCTCCAGGCCTAAGAGATGTTCTTAGGGTTTTTTTTTTTTTTTGAGTGGTTGGGAAAAACTCAAAAGAATGTTTTATGGCACTTAAATTTGTAAAATTGAGATCTTAGTGTCCTTAAAACTTTCCTAAAATGCAAGGCACAATCATCCTTCACAAGGGTGGCATTGCATGACCGCAGCCGGGAACGGAACCCAGGAGCCTGGGAAGAGTGGCTGGCTGTCTTTTTACCGGAAAAGCTTTCTGACCCTTGCTCAAAGTAATCATGCTATTCCCTGGGCCTTGCACTAAATTGCTCTGGAATCTCAAGCTAAAAATACTCTTTATTTACAAAGAGGTATGGCTCTTTCCTTGCTAGGTAAGCGGTA